CATCAAACTGTCAGAAACATGAGACTAATGAAAACTTCATCATACATGACATTAATTGAGACATAAAGGAGTAAGAGTGTGTGTATGTGTGTAAAGCAGTAAGAGATGACTGCATCAGACGGAGCTAAGAATAATAAAACTCTGTAGAGCATTTTAATATCTGTGAAACACAAAATAATTCACAAAAATACAAACTTTCATCTAATCAAACAGTTTGAAAACTTCATAAAATGCAAACAGGAAACAACACACAGAAATGATAAATAAATAAATAAATATGAGGCACTTAATAATTTATTTATAACACACTTTAAAAACAAAGTTTACAAAGAGCAGGAAGAAGGTGATTTTAAACATTAAAGACAAATAAAAGAAACACGCTAAAGTTCATAAAAAATAAAAATAAGTAGAACAAATGTCAAGACAAACATTTAAAAATCAAAGACACCATCTCTCCACTCTTGGTCAAGTTTAAGCATGCTTCACATCAGCGAGGTTAACTGTGAATTTCTATACCAAATAAAAGCTTTTTTAAGTTGACCCCAGAGAAAGATGGTAAGCTGCCCAGTTAGTCAGAAATATACTATAGTGTAAAATTAAATAATCAGCTCAAGTTTTGTATAGTCAGTTATTTACAAATAAATACCTGTTATTCATCCATGACTCCTACATAATGTTTGTGCAATCAAAGTAAACATCTGTCAGATTATTATCACATATTTACTACTTTGCAAACTTCATAAAGTACAAACAAACAAAGAAAACAAAACGAACACATACAAAATAGAAAACTTTTTTTTTAAGTAAATACTTTCCTCAGCAGAGCTTCGTGCTCTCAGACTTCTTGCTATTTATGATGATAATAACTTACATGTAACGTCTTTCATTTATTTACTGTGTAGCATTCACTCTGTGTTTTATCTGATAGTTGTTAAACACTTTTGTAAAAGTGACCTTGTGATGATCTCAGTGCTGCTGGACTGAAGTGTCTCCCTGTGGCTGCTTGTTTGAATCCCCAACCAAATTGTCAGGATCCAGAAAAGATAAACCAACGCTCTCCACTCCATTAACACCAACAATCCTTTGTGCAAAGCACTAGTAATTGTTATGACTTTGGATCCCCTGGTCCCCCGAATGCTTCTATTAAAAGAAGAAGTTTAATAATGAGTCAGTCTGACGGCACAAGAAGCAAAAACATGTTTGTTTCTGACGTACCTTTTGGCGAGAGAAATAAGCAGCAAGTGCAGCGACTACAAGTAAAGAAACAGTGATGATGATGGAGATCAGCACAGCGACCCTGGACCGACCTGCTGAGGTGAAAAAAGGTCACCACAAATGGACCAAAAACGTCACCAAAACAGAAATGATGCAGAGATAAATCTGGATTTTTTTTCCTCACTGTTTCTCTGAGTCGTGTCCTCAGGATCTGGAGTTTGGACGTTTCTGGGATGCAGTGGTGTCTCTGTCAATGAGATTTTCCCGTAGTTTGGGTCTAAAAGACACAAAAAAAACATAAGAGTCATA